TGATAGAGAAAGACTGAAGTTCAGATTAGGGGCCCTGCCTGGATCTGCTGATCCAGAAGACAGGAGAGAGCATGAGGCCATGGGTTTGTGAGTTTTTGAGTGTATGGCGAAGAGGCCTGGGGAAGAAGAGGGGAGGGAAAAGTAGAGCATCTGGCAAAGGGAGAAGGATGCCAGCACAAATATCACCGACTTTAAGCTTCAGACTTATCACAGCACCTGGGTGACGTATGTGAACTAGAATTAATAGAACGATAATGATGTCAATACATCAATCACAAGGTAGGAAAAAAATAATGTACTGCATGTATGGAAAACAACTGTTACAAGAAATCTAAATTTTATGTAAATTCACTGATTTATGCAACCTGCTTTGACTGCCCAGTATCGAGCTTGCTAGGTACTGTTCTAAGCGCCAGGGGATACAGTGATAAGAATAACAGCCTGTGGTCACGGAGCTCACATGCTTATGGGGGAGACAGAAAGAAACCAATAAATATGGAATCTATCAGGTAGTGATGAATGTTAAGAAGAAGAAAAATGAGGGTAAAGATATAGGAAGTGTTGAGGGATGGTATTTTAGATAGGGTGATCAGAGTCCTCTCTAATATGGTAAAACTTATTAAAAAACAAAAACACTCTTCATTTGTTCAACTTACTGAACACACCCATTTGGAGTACCAATTATGTGCTAGGTTCTGTGCTAAGAGACGGTAACAGTCATGGAGAAGAGTCACAAATTCCTTCCCTTTCATGGAGCTTTCATTCTTATGGAGAGGAGGAGAAATAAATGTATAAACAAATAAATAACTTCATACGGTATAAATGTGTAAAGGCAATAGATGATAACATGGGGGAATATGATAGAATTGTTCTTTGGAGGTGGGGGCAGGGATAGGAGAAATAGGTGAGCAGTTGTAAGGCAGAATTAACAACTCTAGGCTGGGTGCAGTGGCTCATGCCCTGAGCTCAGGAGTTTGAGACCAGCCTGAGCAACATAGGGAGACCTTGTCTTTATTCAAAAAGTAAAAAGAAATATAAAAAAGAATTAACATCTCTAGAGGACTTTAACAAATACGTGATAAAAATTATAATTTAGACTGGGCGTGGCAGCTCATGCCTGTAATCCTAGCATTTTGAGAGGCTGAGGTGCAGACAGCTTGAGCTCAGTTCAAGACTGGCCTGGGGAACATGGTGAAACCCGTCTCTACAAAAAACACAAAAATTAGCCAGGCATGGTGGTGCACGCTTGTAGTCCCAGCTACTTGGGAGGCTGAGGTTGAAAGATCATCTGAGCCCAGGAGGCAGAGGTTGCAGTGAGTTGAGATTGTGCCACTGCACTCCAGTCTGGATGACAGAGCTAGACCCTGTCTCATAAAAAATTGTAACTTTTTTTTAACATGTAATATGTGTATCTGTGGTCCTAGAACATCTTTAATACATCAGAATATGTTAATAAGAATTTGGCCACAATTAATTTCTATGTATGGGAGTATGAAAAAAATTGCTGGGATATTGTATACATCCCCCCACACTTTTTAAAAAGTCCATCTCCCTATTGATGGACCTGAGTTTTCCTTCTTTATGGTCCCCCAGCACTTGAGTATTTTAAAGGAGAGGCTAACATTCTCCATACACTTCACTTACTTGAACCATCTCAGCATATCCACCATGTGCTGACATCTCTAGCTAAATGCAGTATGCTTAATATTGTAGTTTAAGGCACTCTGGTTATTTCTACAATAATCTTGAGATCTTTACACAGTCCAATATGGCTACCCTTACTCTCCCAAAGTGAAGGCTTAAGGTTGGCTTTTTCAGATCTACTCTCTGTTACTGGGACAGTGTTTAAACAATTTGTAAATGATCCCAGACAGAGAAAGCCTTACGAGGTCTTTTTTCAGTGGTTCTGGCTGGAGAACTTCAGGATGGATTCCTTCCAGCCATTTTGAAATTGAGTCAAAGTCTCTTGTTTAGAGAGTTCATTCTTAAGATATTTTGTCCCCATTATTTAGTTACCTAAAAACGTAGTAATCTGCTCTCCTCAGACTTTAACTGCTTTTCCAGGTAAACCCTTCTATTTCTATAGCATGAAGTGATGATAAATAATATGTTATTGCTTTCCTTTCTGTAAGTCCAGGCTGCACCACATTCACTTATCAATAACTTACGGGCAGCTCTGCCTACATATCCCATAGGCTGAGAAACTTAATGGAACTCTTATTTCCCTTCCAATTGGTTCACCTCCTGTGTTTCTTCTCTTGGTTAATGATTTCCTACTTCAGTCACTTCAGCCAGAAATCTAAAGGTCATTGTCTTTCTTTTACACACCCCTCTCACCAACTGCTGGTGAGTGAGTCCTATTGTTTCTACTCCTTAACGTCTACAAGATCTGGCCTCTTGGTCGGGCACAGTGGTTCATGCTTGTAATCCCAGCATTTTGGGAGCCCAAGGCGGGTAGATCACCTGAAGTCAGAAGTTCGAGACCAGCCTGACCAATATGGTAAAACCCTGTCTCTACTAAACACACACACACACACACACACACACACACACACACACAAATTAGCCAGGTGTGGTGGTGTGCACCTGTAGTCCCAGCAACTTGGGAGGCTGAAACAGGAGAATCACTTGAACCCAGGAGGTGGAGGTTGCAGTGAGCAGAGATTGCGCCACTGCAGTCCAGCCTGGGCGACAGCAAGACTCTGTCTCAAAAAAAAAAAAAAAATCCATCCTCTCCTCACCATACCCCAACTGTTGTCTCAGTTCAGCCCTCAGTTATCCTCTTGTGCTAGTTGTAACTTCATCCTTCACACAGTTAACTCAGAGATCTTAAGACACAAATCTGATTATTTAGCACTGTGTTACTTAAATTCCTCCTAGGTTTTCAGTCAGTGATTACAGATTAAAACTCCTTGGCATGGTGCAGAAGACCCTCCTTCACTGGGGTCATGCCAACCTCGTTTGGACTCATCTTGTTCTGTTCCATGTTGCTGTAGTTCCAGCAACCATCCTTATGATCATCATGCCACACATATTGTGCCAAGAGCCTCCCGGGTAGGATTTCACTTACTTTGCAATTAATTTTCACAACACTCTTATCAGGTAGGTACTATTCTTACCTCCATTTTACAGCAGGTATAACATTCCCAAGGTTACACACCTGGAGAATGAATTTTCAGTACAGGTCTGCTTTCTCAAGTCTGGGCTTGTGACAATTTTGCCTTACATTATGTCCATATCTCTGACTTGTGGCACACTTCTTTAGCTCCATGGCATTTGCACTTACCATCGCCCTTGGTCAACATGCCTTCTGCCACACTCTTCAAGGACATTCTTTAAACAGTACTTCCATAGGGCAGCGGGATACACCACACCCTCCTTCAACTTCTGTCACACCCCCTCCTCTCTTGTGGCTTCCACAGTTCTGTACGGCACTTTCTATCACACCCCCTCCTCTCTTGTGACTCCCACAGTTCTGTACGGCACTTTCTATCACACCCCCTCCTCTCTTGTGACTCTCACAGTTCTGTACCGCACTTATGTTTTGCATGTCTAGTATGGTTTGGCTGTGTCCCCACCTAAATCTCATCTTGAATTGTAATCTCCATAATCCCCACATGTTGTGAGAGGGACCAGGTGGGATGTAATTGAATCATGGGGCAGTTTCTCCCCATACTGTTCTTGTGATAGTAACTGAGTTCTCACAAGATCTGACGGTTTTATAAGTGTCTGGCATTTACCCTGCTTGCACCCATTCTCTCCCCTACTGCCCTGGGAAGACATGCCTTCTGCCATGATTGTAAGTTTCCTGAGGCCTCCCCAGGGATGTGGAACTGTGGGTCTATTAAACCTCTTTTCTTTATAAATTACCCAGTCTCAGGTATTTCTTCATAGCGGCATGAGAACAGACTAATACAAGTTCTGACCCCCACCTCTGGGCTATATGTTCCTTGAGAGCAGAAAGAGTATTTTATTATTTGTAGAACTCTAGTGCCTAGTACAGTACCTGAAACATGGCAGGCTAAATGCCCATCAGTGATAGACTAGATAAAGAAAATGTGGTGTGTATATATATATATATACACACACACACACACCATGGAATACTATGCAGCCATAAAAAAGAATGAGATCATGTCCTTTGCAGGGACATGGATGGAGCTGGAGGCCATCATCCTTAGCAAACTAACATAGGAACAGAAAACCGAATACCACATGTTCTCACTTATAAGTGGGAGCTAAATGATGAGAACACATGGACACATAGAGGGGAACAACACACACTGGGACTTACCAGAGAGTGGAGTGTGGGAGGAGAGGATCAGGAGAAATAACTAATGGGTACTAGGCTTAATACCTGGGTGATGAAATAATCTGTACAACAAACCCCCATGACACGGGTTTACCTATGTAACAAGCCTGCACATGTATCCCTGAACTTAAAAGTTAACAAAAACATGGCAGGTACTCAACAAATATTTGTTAAATAAATGAATGAGTATATGAATGAATAATTAAGTCTGGGAACAGGATCAAGGCTGAGCTTAACCATCCTCTTTACTAAAGCGAGTTGATGGAAGTCTTTACCTCTTATCTGTTAAACTCCCTCCCTGGATTTCCCAGCATCTGTAGTCTAAGTTGAACACACATGCGTTTATTCCCTCATTCATTCATTCCTTAAGCATGTATTGAGTGCTACTAAGTCCCAGCTAAACTCTATGATGCGAAGATGAATAGCAAGAATCTCTGTCCTCAAAGAGCTCACAATGTAAAAAATGGAAACTAGTCAGTAGATGATTATAATACAATGATACACACTTAAAAGAAGTATTGTGTAATATAGTGAGCTTGCATAAAGAAGAAAGTCTCTACTTTATGTAAGGAAAGGAGGGATTTACGAGATGACATAGGACATAGGAGCTGATTCTTTTTTTTTTTTTGAGACAGAATCCTGCTCTGTTGCCCAGGCTGGAGTTCAGTGGCACAATCTTGTGTTCAAGCGATTCTCCTGCCTCAGCCTCCTGGCTAGCTGGGATTACAGGTACGTGCCACTATACCGGGTTAATTTTTGTATTTTTAGTAGAGACAGGGGTCTCACCATGTTGGCCAGGCTGGTCTCGAACTCCTGACCACAAATGATCCACCCGCCTTGGCCTCCCTGAGTGCTGGGATTACAGGCATTAGTCACAGTGCCCAGCCTAGCAGCTGAGTCTTAAATGATGTGTAGAGGTCAAGTAGAAAAGGTAGGAGGCAAAACGATTTCAGGGTTTTGGAAAGGCTTAAAATGAAGGGCATTGGAAGCAGCAAGAAAAGTACAAAGACATAGAGGCATATGGGTTCATGGGATGATGAGGGTGGTCTCCTTGTATGGGAATGTGAAATTGAGAGTTAGCTGGGATCCAGGTCCACACAGATTTTGGGTGCCCCAGGAAGGAGTGCACACTTGATTGTAAACACAGGAGCACCAGTGGAGGAGTTCAAGCATGCAAATGAAACGATCCCTTTTTTTTTTTTTTTTTTTTGGCTTTTAGAATGATCACCCTGGGATGTACATGAAGAATTGATAAGGTCCTAAGTTAGGACAGTTGCTGTGGGAATGAAGAAGGAGGGATGGAATTGAGAGATGTTTGAGATCTAGAACAAACAGAACTTGACAACTGAAGAAATGTGGGTAAGCCCTAAAGAGAGATGTGGAAGAAGTGGGGGAGTGAAAATTAGTGTCTCTAAGTGAACTTGGGATATATGGTTCTATCTCTTTAAGAGAAAAAATAATCCAGATACAATAGGAAGCTAAAGGATTTTTTAAAATACTCATTTAATTGAATACAAATATTCCCTTAAACACTTTTTTTTTTTTTTTTTTTGGATGGAGGGCCATATGGTGCCTTTAAATATTTAAGTACTTTTGTGTCAGGGATATGTTCCAAAAATCCGTTGGTAGTTAATCTCTCTGAATTAGTGACTCTTCAACTTGGGTTCTTTAGGCACCTGGGAACAAGAAGGACCTGGGCAGGCAGAGCTCAGGGCCACTTCCAGGCTGCAGCAACCACAGCACCACCCTTATTTGTTGTCACCCTGAGCTTACATGTGGAATTTCAGAAATGGCTCTGGAGCTGTAAAATCTTCAGAATCACTAGTCTAATTATCAGTTACTCACGTAATATGTTTTGTTAAAGTGTTTGGCTGTAGTTCTGTGTTATGGAGTGTTTCTTTGTTTTGTTTGTGTTTATTGTTTGTTTCTATCTTGGAAAATGGGGCTCCCTTCAGGGGAGCTATATTCACAAATCTGGTATGTTGTGTCTGATTCTCTTTAATGGCAGAGAAAGGTTGTCTTACTTGCCACATTTTCTGTTTCCTAATAAACACACAGCCATCTCAGGCCACAACGGTCCATGTTTCTCTTAACAATGGCATTAGAATAAAACATCTGTCACCAGAGCAGTCCACGGGGCCCTTGGTGTTTTTTCCCATCAGTCCTACTGAGGTGAAAAGTGAAAGCCAGCCACGAATCAGCTGAGAATTAGCACAAGCTGTTGTTTTTTGAGTTTTCCAAATATTTTCCAACTCCCATTGTGTGTGTTTGTGTTTTGCACTCAAAACCCTTGCCAAAACCTCCTCCAACAGCATTCCTTCCTGGATTCCGAAGTCATCTGGAGAGCAAACAAAACTCCTCATAGGTCATTAATGTCATGGATGTATTTATATTTGTTAAAACATGAGGAGAGGACTAGAATACATATTTTTGTTACCTTTGGATCCACAAATTCATTTTTTTAAAATTAAGACCTTTGCAAACTGAATTTATAAAATCTATGTTTGATTTGTATTTGGGGTATGGTTTCAACTGAAGAAATACTTAAAATGTATTTAAAATGAAAATCACACCCTCGTGGAGTTAGCAGGCATAGAAATTGAAGAAACGATAGGTAGAACAAGAAAAGACAGAAAGCTGAGTGACTTAACTACAAAGCACAAGCACATCCATATTTTTCTTTTTCTGATACATGTATTTTACTGCCCATGGACAGACTACTCTTGGAAAAAATCTTCTGCGTATATCTTTTTTGTTAGATACTTTGAATTTTCAGTATGACCTTTCCCCTGCAACCATCATTAAATTCTCCAAATAATAACAAGACAGTTTTCCTTTTTTCTACCTATGTTTATGGGAACTGTATTAAAATTGATTAAAATAAATCATGTGTGTTAAGTACTAATCTCATTTTCTTTCTTTTATTCCCATGGCCAATGTTATAGTGTCGATATGGATGCCTTTGTGCCCTAGGGAGACAGAAAACAGAGGTTATCCATCTTTGCCAAGGAGATTGATGTCTTAGTCAATATCATCGTGGGACACCTGGAAAAACTGGCCATTCTTCTCCCTAGAACTCCTTCTGATTTTCAGCTCACCAGGGGTCCTGCTCTTGTTCCTTCCATTATTATAGTCAGAGAATGTCAAGCTTTAGTAACTCCCTGTACAAAATGCCCTTGAAGAAAGATAAGGAAGTCTCAGAAAAGAATAGGTTCTCATTATAATTCCTCCACTTCCTTGGAAAGTGTTATTTGACTCAGTTTCCCTCTCACTTGGGGATAGTGGGTGTCACAGGCATCCTAGGTCTATTGCTTTTGATACTTACTGCAGTCAACACAATAGTAAGGTCTTTTCTGTGATATTCCTTTTGCATTTTACATTGTCTCACTAAGTTTCAAAACATCTAAGAACGACCATTTCCTTACATTATAATTTAAAGTCAGCTCTCTGCTTTGTAACAAGCCAATTAGTTCCACCTCGCAACAAAGAGGGGGAGAGAAGCTGTTGTTCTAAATGTTAGGCCATTTTTTCTTATTATTTTAAATCAGTGTTCCATTTTTCCCTGTTGCTTTTTAAACTCAAAACCTGTTGTGTGATTTTATTAAAGACTATGAAAATGTTTGGGAGGAAAATGAAAAATATCTCCAAACACACTAATATTTTAAACCCCTTTGGTACGTACACACAGAATCTATTGTAGTTTGCATGTGGGATCTTGATTGTGTAGCTATGAATTATTTAAACACAGCTTATGCAACATAGAGAACTATTGTCTAAAACTATGAATAATCATTTCCTTATTTTTGAGGTCGTGTGTTTATTGGTTCTGCTGATGTCATCAAGGGATATTTTATTCTCTACTGGCCTAGCTTTCAGACTTGCTTCTGGCTTTGACTGCCGGTCTATTAACAAGTTTTTCTGAATTCAACCTGTTCCACGTGGAAACCGTGTCACATGTGACAAAACAATAACCCACATACCACAAACTTCAGGTTGGCATCTATGACGTTCAGGCTGACTCCTGTTTCAAAAACTGTCTAAAATTATAGCATCTATTTGATTGCTTTTCCACAAGGGAAACAGTCTAGGAAAATACCCCCGGGCTCTGAAAGTTGTTAGAGCTTTAGCTTTGGTTACCTTTATTTTAGAGTCCAGCTTAGCTCTCTGCAAATATTATCTTATGTTTTTGTTTTTCCCTTATGAAGTAACTCACTATATCTGTGAGCTAATTAAAGGTCCTTTGAGTTTCTTTACTGTACTGAGAAAAGTCTCCTGGGGTGAAATGAGTGCAGAGTAATCTCTGTTTTTCCCTTCTTCCCTCCCTCTTTCTCTCTGGGCTTGAGGAGGGATCCCTCCATCAGTGATACATATTAAATCCTACACTGTGTTTAAAAGGATAACTAGGCTGGGTGCAGTGGCTCATGCCTGTAATCCCAGCACTTTGGGAGGCCAAGGTGGGTGGATCACCTGAGGTCAGGAGCTCGAGACCAGCCTGACCACATGGTGAAACCCCTGTCTCTACTAAAAACACAAACATTAGCCATGTGTGGTGGCAGTCACCTGTAATCCCATCTACTCAGGAGGCTGAAGCCAGAGAATCACTTGAACCCGGGAGGGAGAGGTTGCAGAGGTTGAGCTGAGATGGCACCAACTGCACTCCAGCCTGGGCAACAAGAGTGAAACTCCACCTCAAAAAAAAAAAAAAAAAAAAAAAAAAGGACAACTAAAAATATACATATAATGGGGTAGATTTGATTTAATAAACATTTAATATGAAAAAAAAAAGTCCCCTGGAGCAAGGGTGGGTGACTAGTTGGCTGTGAGTGAGCAGTGTGGCACGGCCAAGAGTCCTGCAGAAGGCTTTTAGGTCTAGGTCAGCACCAGAGAAGGGTCCAGAGTTGTGGAGCAATCCTTGAAGCCTCTGACACTATCTTTGTCTCCAGGTCCTGCATTTCAAAGGAAATTTTCCCCAAAGTTCACCTAGTGAGGAGTAATTAGAATCATTGGATCTTGAAACATGGGCATTTGAGTGATGAGCCAGGAGCCATGAAAAATATGATTCAGGATGGTGCATAATTACTCTTCCAGATGTTTGAAGTGTGTTAAGAGGAAGACAGAGTCCATGTCTTCATGTGGCTTCAAAGAGCAAAATTCTGGCCAGCAGGTAAAATTATAGAAAATAGTATTTCTGGCTGGGGGCCCTGGCTTATGTCTGTAATCCCATCATTTGGCAAGGCTGAGATGGGAGGATCCCTTGAGTTTAGACATTTGAGACCAGCCATCATGAGATCCCCATCTTTACAAAAATCTTAAAAATTAGCTGGTGTAGTAGTCCCAGCTACTTGGGAGGCTGGGGTAAGAGGACTGTTTGATCCCAAGAGTTCAAGGGTGCAGTGAGCCAAGATTGGCCACTGCACTCCAGCCTGGGCGACAGTAAGATCCTGTCTCTAAGAAAAATGAAAAAGAAAAAGCCTATTTCAGCCTAAGGAAGGAAAGCTATTTCCAATGGTCCCAGCTCTCTGAGATGGGAGAAGAGTGCTACAGGATGCAGTGAGTCCCTGTTCCTAGGTTGAAGCCAGAGAATATGGCTGCTCCCCTTGAGAGGATGTGGCAGGGATTGGACTGAACGTCTCTGTGGATCCTATCAACGCCAAAATCCTCTGGTCCTGTTAGAAAACATGAATTCTCTGTTTCTAAATAAGTGAAGTTTCAGTCTTCACAGCTATACCAGTGAAGTTTCAGCCTATGCATTCAGCCTAGGCAAATGTACATTAGAGACAAGTGGGCTAAGTTCTGGGATCCTGGAAGGAGGCGGCCTGGGTTTACCGTTTATGAGACAATATTGTTACATTCTCAATTTTCCCATGTGTAAACTGGAAGTGTTAGTAGAATGTGTCTCTTAAGGTTGTTGTAAGGATTAAGCAGGTTAGCGTAGGTAAAGATGTTAGATGCGGGAAGGCACAAACAACTCTTTGTATGGGTTAGCTGTTTCTAGCATTACCGGGGCACTTTCTGCATGAAAGTACTAAGTTAATGTTGCATCTTCAAAAATAAGTAATCACACATTCAGATAGTGGAGTCCCGATGAGTGCGATTCCACTGGGTAGTCTGGTCCAAGTTCATCCTCCGCTTTTTCAACTGAATATAGAACATCAATCTAGAGATTTTCTTTTTTTTTTTGTTTTGAGGCAGAGTCTCGCTTTGTTGCCAGGCTGGAGTGCGGTGGCACGATCTCGCTTACTGCAACCTCTGTCTCCTAGGTTCAAGCATTTCTCCTCCCTCAGCCTCCCAAGTAGCTGGGATTACAGTCGCATGCCACCACACCTGCCTACTTTTTGTATTTTTAGATGGGGTTTCACCATGTTGGCTCGGCTGGTCTTGAACTCCTGACCTCAGGTGATTGGCCTGCCTTGACCTCCCAAAGTGCTGGGATTACAGGCGTGAGCCACTGCGCCCGGCCGTGGGCAATGATTTTTCTAACTCAAATACCAAAATGCATCATATAGTTGTTGAATGAGTAGCTTTCACCATGAGCCAATAAATAATTCAGTTAACACTTCTTGGTCTTCTCTAAAATATCAAAAGCTTTCCAATTCACTTATGCTGGCTAAACCCCTAATTATTATTCTAGTAACAAAACTGGGGCCAGTTCCAGGCATCAATGTGAAATGACTTTCTCTGAATTGTAGCATAAATGATAAATAAATAAATAATGCCAAATATTAGAGGTAAGTAAATTAGAGTATGTTTAGTGCAAGCATCTATTGCGGCAGAAAAAAGATTCAGCAGAGAGAGAAGAGGACGTTTTGGATCAAGAAAAAAACACAATAGCATGTGTAAGAGGTTATTAACTCTGCACCATTTGCCCACTCCCTTAGTAATGTTTAACAAGGCTTTATTGATTACAATAGCCTTGATTTGTAAATGGGAACAGAAGATCACATTGTTGGCACCAGATCAGTCCTTGCATACAGCATCTGCCAGCTGAAGACTTCATTAATAATTGATTTTAGGGGGATTAGACGGGCCCATATGGGCCTGTCTTTTGCCAGCATGCTTCATCACAATATGCAGCTTGATTTATGAATAATTGTAGGTTATTAGTTCTGGAAGACACCACAGACTGGAAATTAGAGGATTTAATCAGTGGCAGAGCCAAAGTCAGATTTTCTGACTCCTATTGCAAAGCCTTTTACACTAAATATATGTGGACTCTTTCATCAGCAACCTGAAATGTTGGCTGCAGATTTTAAACATCTGACAGCTCAATAATATAAAATATTTCTCCAAGCAGCTCACTACAGGTGACCTCCAGACACTCTTGACTTCATCTTCTTACCTTCCCCTTGAGGCTGAATCTCTATGTCAGAGATCATGAAGATTGGGGTTGGAAATTGCTTGTCCCTGGTAAGTAAGAAATGGCCTCAAGTGGCCCAATTCACAAGCCAGAATTCTGTCCAACCTTGCATAACATACTCAACTGGAAACTACAGTTTTTGCTTCTCATTAACACCCAGGATGTCTGGTAGTGTTAACAGGCCATGATTCACCAGGTGCCTGGCCTGCTCTGCCCTGCCCTGACAGCCTGCCCACTGACCTACAGAGAAGGCCACAGCTATGCACCAGCAGCTCTGGGCGTTCTTTCTTAGCTCTAGCTTCTAGCACTCATCTAGCATTTCTGATTTCTAACTTCCTGCCTGCAATATTTATGGATCGTGTTTCTGCCTTGTCCTTGGCAATGGCTGTTTCATGTGGACTGCCTGCTTGGTGTTCAGTCTGGCCTTGCTCATCCTCAGCTCCATGATCCGTGGGCCAGCACCAAATCACTCCTGGTCCTACCTGGCCTGTGTCTGACAACCCAGGTTCTTGTTTGTCTAGGAGGGAAGTTCAGACATTCAATCCCTTCACTGCCAGTTGCGTGAATTTATCATTAACTTATTGTCTGTGGCTGTGGCTGTGGCTGGAACATGATCCTTGCTGGGGGGGTCCACCATCAATCCTGGCTGGTTTCACAGAGCCGAGTGTTCTAAGTTCAAGGGAACATGAGGGGTGTGCTTCCCACCCTCCTCTGCTGGATGGTGGCCGCTGCTGACTGGAGATGAGGAGGGAAGAGATTCTGCCTGTGGCTTACAGGAACTTTCTAGTTACAGGGCAGCCAGCCACTTCCTAGCATCACAGAACACCATAGCTCCCCCTGGCAAGAGATGGCCAACAATATCAGCCAGAGGCTCCATGGTTACAAGGTGGGTTGGGGAGGATGGATGCACTGCCAAGGCATGAAACCTTGACATAGAAATACAATGCAAACTGGCACTACAGGGAAAGCCCTGGAAAGGTCTCCTGAGAGTGTCCCAATGCCCTGAATGTCCCAGTCTCCTAAAGCTCATATTTTGAGAATAAAACTCTTCTTGACCATTCATTCCTGCCCCCTCCAAACATGATGATTCCCTTCTTTTCCTCCTCTCACAGGGGGATTTTCTTTTTGCCTGTAAGTGCCCACAACCTTCTGACACCCACAATATGGGCCCATTGACATGTTGGGTGGCCAGCCTTTGCTGGGTAAAGTTCCTGTTTTCAGTGCCTAGTCCTGGGAGGTTCTCCTGCCTCACTGCTCCTCCCTGCATTGTACCCCAGCTCTCAGTCTCAGGAAGAGGTGGTTACCATTGCACTGAAGTGCCAGACTTGGCGATGTTGGGGTGCTTCATGGACCAAGGTGTGGTCAGTCAGCCTCCATTTCTACTTCCTGGGAGGCATGGACCCCATTGCCTCCCGTTTGAGGAAACCAGTGGTCTGTGGGAAAACCATGTCATTATGTCTTTTCTTGAGCTGCCCCTGCTGTAGTCTGAACTATCCTACCATGCAGTTGTCTTTCAGAGAGGCAGTCCCTCAGCCTCTGTCAGAAGTGATAGCTCTGTCTCCATCAGCTTCCACCTTCACTGTAGCCATCATGCCAGGGATGCCAGTCCAGCTTGTCTATTGTAGGAAGGCATTTGCAGTTGTAGAGAAAGAAAAATGGACTCATTGATTGGAGTGTTATTGTGAAATCATGCTGGAGTGGTGGGCTGTTCACTGATAGGTGGATATAATTTTCTGAGCCTGATGTTGGTGCCCTCCACAAATATGTGGATGCCACCTCATGGAAGGGTTCATCAGGCTCTCCATCTCTCAGAGCTAGCGTGTGACCCTGTGAAGTTGCTTATCTTTGACTGTCTTAAGTATCTAATGTTTGGCATAAGGCCTTCTAGTTGGCGTGTCTGCAGTCTACTCAAGAACCCTACCCTAACATGTCATGAACTCGGTTCCTGCAGTCTCTATCAGCTGTGGCAGGGGATGGTGATATGGTTTGGCTCTGTGTCCCCATCCAAATCTCATTTTAGATTGTAATCCTTATAAGGGATTGGCGAAGGAGGACCAGGTGGGAGGTGATTGGATGATGAGAATGGTTTCCCCCATGCTGTTCTCATAATCGTGCATGGATTCTCACGAGATCTGATGGTTTTATAAGTGTTTGACAGTTCCTCCTTCACGCATTGTCTCTCTCTCCTGACACCTTGTGAGGAAGGAGCCTGCTTCCCTTTCTGCCATGACTGTAAGTTTCCTGAGGCCTCTCCAAGTCACGTGGAACTGTGAGTCAATTAAAACTCCATTGTTTATAAATTACCCAGTCTTGGGTATTATCTTTATAGCAGTGTAAAAATGGACTAATACAGATGGTAAACTTTTTCTATACAGAGCCAGATAGTAAATACAGGCGTTATGGGCCACACTTTCTCTCTGGCAGCTACTCAATTCTGACATTATAGTACAAAAGCAGCCATGAATATGTAAATGAATGGCCATGGCTGTGTTTTCATAGAATTTATTTACAAATTCAGGTGGTGAGTCATAGTTTGCAGATACCTGAGATATCATAATACCCCTTCTAAGATGCTCCTGAGACATGTACTAGCCAAACTCAAATGGGGTTTTGGGACCATATTTTGTGCAGTTCAGCAGCCTGTATAATGCCATAGTGGCAGACAGAATCTCAGCTCTTCAGAACAGCAGCCCTGCCTAGGTCCATCAAAGTTCAATGTTTTCTGGGATTCATCTCTTTATTCTTGTGCCTTAACAATTGTGGTTCCTTCTACCTCTTTTTTTCTTAGTCTCTATTAACATACTACTTCCTCTAAGAGGCACTTTCTGATTTGGACTCTAGACTAGATTATTATCATTAATTTTTGCTCTGTTACCTGTAAGTTTTATGAGATCAGGACCAAGATCATTGCCTAGCACAATGCCAGGCTCATGGTAGGTGTCCATTTATGTTCTGATTTTTTACAATTGTTCAGTTGAACTTGTTTCCCATGCATGTTTCTCCCGGAAGGTTGCTCTGATGAATGTGAACAATCTTCCCTGGTAACGGCTCCTACCTTGTCACAGCCACCTGAGGTCCAACAGCTCTGCCATGTAGTGTACTTGCATCTGAGCTAGGGCTCTCAGCAGACCCAGAATCTCAGTTCACTCAAACCCACCCTCTTTTCTGAATGTGTAGTTTTCACTTCTTATTTGTTAAGCAGTTAAAACCACAGAGCCAACACTCTCTCAGAAGGCCAAGTATGGAGACCAAGTTCTCCAGCTTGTGGGTTCCCTGGTCATCTGGCTCTGTTGACAACAGACAGAAGTCTACTGTGGATGTTGGAGATATAATCCGGGCTTCCAAGAGCAGTAGAGCCTGCAAAGGTGACTCAGAGAAGGGCAGGGTGCCAGGGGAGCTGGCTGCATGGGAACAGAAAGCTGGGGAGGCAGCCCAACCTCAGGTCATTCCCACCTCCCTGCAGTCAGCCTCGGCTACTACTTTTCTGGGAGAATTTGGAAAGGACACACCCATATCTACGAGTTGACTCTTGAACTGTGCCAAGGAGAAGCTGTGTAAGTTTCATTGTCCTTTGCGGTCTGGCAGCTTCAGAAGCATGACAGTCCATTTTGTTCCTTATCCCACTGGGTGTTCACTTGATTAATGATGAATGGAATGCTAGCCTTGACATATAATACTACAGTAACCACATTGGCCAGTGCACCACATCATGTGATTTTAACTTTTAGCTCTATGTGAAATATCTGGCATTCATTTGGAGAAAAATGTCAGTCCAGACACATATATTACCTATTGCCAAGGCCTGGAAAATGGAGTAGAGCTTTGCAAGACCTGACACTTGAATAAATATAGCTAATAAGAGAAACAAGAGCAGGAGTGGCTGGGTTGCCTTTTGAGTCAAGATTTTAGCAAGTAGACACTCTGCTTGTATAAGCAAAGCAGGAATAGGAAACTGACCAATTTCAGAAACAAAATTCTTCCCTCCCCTCCTCTTTCCCTCTTTCCTCTCCTTCTTTTCTTTCTTTCATTTCTTAGAGACTGGATCTGGTTCTGTCACCTAGGCTAGAGTGTAGTGGTGTGATCATAGCTCACTGTAGCCTTGAACTCCTGGGCTCAGGCCATCCTCCTACCTCAGCCTCCCAAGTAGCTAGGGATACAGGCATGTGCCACCACACCCGGTTAATTTTTTTGTCTTTTTATTTTTGTGGAGATGGGATCTCATTTTGTTGCCCAGGTTGGTCTTGAACTCTAGCTTCAAGTAATCTCTCCTGCCTTGGCTTCCCAAAGTGTTGAGATTACAGGCATGAACGACTGCACCTGACCTGGAAAGCTCATAAAGAAATGCTGGCCAGGCGCGGTGGCTCACGCCTGTAATCCCAGCACTTCAGGAGGCCGAGGCAGGTGGATCATGAGGTCAAGAGATTGAGACCATCCTGGCCAACATGGTGAAACCCTGTCTTTACTAAAAATACAACAATTAGCTGGGTGTAGTGGCGCACCTGTAGTCCCAGCTACTCGGGAGGCTCAGTCAGATAGGAGAATTGCTTGAACCTGGAGGCAGGGGTTGCGGTGAGCCAAGATCGGCACTGCATTCCAGCCTGGAGACAGAGCCAGACTCCATCTCAAAAAGAAAGAAAGAAAGGAGAGAATGGAAAGGAAAGGGAAGGAAGGGGAGGGGAGGGGAGAGGAGGAGAGAGAAGGGAGAAATGCTGGCCTCTAAATGACCAAGTTGGAGTTGGTTGCCATGATTGTCTTCTAATGACATCTACTTACTATCTTTTTCTGACATCCAAACTGACTCTGGCGGGGCGCGGTGGCTCACGCCTGTAATCCCAGCACTTTGGGAGGCCGAGGTGGGCAGATCACAAGGTCAGGAGATTGAGACTGTCCTGGCTAACATGGCGGAACCCCGTCTCTACTAAAAATACAAAAAAAAAAAAAGAAAAGAAAAGAAAAGAAAAATTAGCCGGGCATGGTGGCGGGCGCCTGTAGTCCCAGCTACTCCGGAGGCCGAGGCAGGAGAATGGCGTGAACCCGGGAGGCGGAGCTTGCAGTGAGCCGAGGTCGCGCCTCTGCACTCCAGCCTAGGCGACAGAGCGAGACTCTGTCTCAAAACACACACACACACACGCACACACAAACTGACCCAATGGTCCCACAGACAGTTCTTTTTGATAAACATAGAAATTGACCCTTCTAGTCTTAAAGCTTAAAACTAGTATTTGTTTTATCTGAGTTTCTTCCTTAGGAAAGGACTTTCAGACCTCTCAAAAAAAAAATCAAAGGACTGAAATTCACCAGGTCACCAGGTTCAGACAATGAGATGCCTGACCCCTCATTCGTCATGATTTCTTCTTTGCCCTTCCCTAGTTCCTGTTTTCTTACACATTGTTACATTTTTTCCCTGCTATGTAAACCCACGTTTCAGTGGATCAGGGAAATGGAATTTTTTTTTTTTTTTTGGACGGGGTTTCACTTTATGGCCCAGGCTGGAGTGCAGTGGTGCAATCTCAGCTCACTGCAACTTCCACCTCCCAGGTTCAAGCTATTCTCCTGCCTCAGCCTTCCAAGTAGCTGGGACTACAGGTGTGTGCTACCACGCCTGGCTAATTTTTGTATTTTTAGTAGAGATGGGGTTTACTGTATTGGCCAATCTTGGTCTCAAACTCCTGACCTCAGGCGATCTGCCTGCCTCAGCCTCTTAAAGTGTTGAGATTACAGGCGTGAGCCACCATGCCTGGCCAGGGAAATGGATTTGAGACTGAGCCCCCATCTTCTAGAATGTAGCACCCAATTAAAGCCTTTTTCCTTGGCAGTATCATCGTTTCAGTGATTGGCTTTCTGTGCAGCCAGCAGCAGGACCTAGACTGAACCCTTGGTGTTTCAGTGACAACATCAGTGTGACTGATGTCCTCATGAAACCAGTGGAATCAGAATTTCCTAGAAATCTTTACAAAGCTTTTGCGTTTCTGATGTTTTATTCTTTAGCCCATGGTGGTTTACATTTGCCTCTTTTATCATCTCTTGTAGTCTGAAAAATTTCTATTTCTCGTGTTAGTCCTTGATTGCCTATTGGATTATTTTCTCATTTACACAGCAGGCCCAGGTTGGATGAGGGGAATATGATTAAAAGACAATACATATATTTAATACTTTCAGAGGATTTATACAGGAACAAAAATCAGAGGAAGACCTACAAGGTGTTCTAATTTAAAAATTTTTAATTCTTCTAATAAGCATTTCATGCTCTTAGCTAACTCTTTACTATGAAGAAATGGACTGGGAGCCAACAGATCTGAGTTCCTGTCCCTGCACTGACAGATAATTCATTTTCAAGGCCTCTGTTTCATAAGCCGTGAAATGAGGGAACCATTTGATGTAGAGAGTAGCTTCAAAACAGCTGGGATGAATAAAGTACTTTATTACCTGGAGACTTCAAACACAGTCTTTTTGCTGTGGCCCATAATTTGACGGTGTCTAATTGCATCTAAAATCCAAGTTTTCTGGGATGGCATCTAAGCATCTTTCTGTTCCAGTCCTGAACTGCCTTTCACATCACTTCCCACCCATCTTCTTCTTGGGCCCTGATCCTTTATCACATGCTGTACTCTCGGGACTCCTGACCTTCGCCTCTGCTGTTCCCCCTGCCTAGCACACCACATCCATTTCTTTAGAAATCAAAGGCCCATCTATCTCCTTCAAAACTCAAATCTAGTGCTTCCTCTTGCGTGCAGCTTTTTCTAACCTCAGCAGAATGAATTTCCCCCTTCCCTTTGTGCTTTCTCATAGTGGAACGTTTATCACATGGGATAATTACTTGTTACATGTTTTATTTTCTGTTTAATACCTCCTAAGTTTTGCCTGAAGCTTGTCCACGTGCTTGGTCACAGAACTGTCCTGGGAAATACCCCGATGAATTATTTCAAAAGCAACCAAAGTGTCCTAACATGATGGTAGCAGGGGAAAATGAAGGATCATCTCAGTGTGACTGAATGAAAAGCAGTATCTGGATCTTCATAAATGATGGAATTGATTTGCCACACCAATTGGTAAAGGCCTGAAGCCATGGTTAACAGGGTTATTTTGCTGAAAACTTCAATCAAGAAACACTGAAAGGACAAGAGTCCCGATGGCCCTCGAGGCAGATGATTGATTCCTGGGGCTATGTTGGAAAGTTTGGCAGAGAAGAGACTGAACTATGCTGTTGGGTGAGTAGGTTGTAGGAGGGGACCCCACTGGGAGATTATTGGGCTTTGTAAACATGGGGGAGAGAAAATGTCCAGAAATGTTGTCTTGAGAAATTAGGGACAGCAGAGCTAGGAGAGTGAGATGTTTCTCATTCCCATGTCTATGGAATAACAGCATGTCTAGAATGCTCCGATAAATTGCCACTAGATGACGCTGTTTCCTCATTTGGCAAAAGAGATTTGTTACCCTACCCCTACCCCCCAGCGCAAGCCGCGGACCACAGAGGCGTGAGAGCCTGGAGGCCTGGGCTCTAGTTCCAGATCTGCCCCTCCCTGGAAAGAGGCCTGGAAGGAACAGACCTCTGAGATTCCCTGAGATCCCTCATTTGTAAAACAAAGAAATCCTGGACCAAGTGCTTTCTAAAACCTCTCCAATTACTTTTTTAATACGTTTTATTTTTCCATTTTAATGAAACCTTTAGAGATATGGATTGCCTTCTATGTAAATATATACTCGTACAGAAATGTCAATTTTTATTTAACCAAATCTCGTTTAGATAATTAGACTCCGTAAAGCTTACGGGGCAAGAATCAAATGAATTGCAGTATACCTGTATACATCGGTATGCCTCCTGGACCTAAACATTTCCCATTTATGTACGCAGTGAATTGTAGAGCTGGAAAGAATCTTAGCGGTTATACAAATAGTTCGGTCTTTTATGTATCTAATATCTAAACATAAGCTTCTCCAGGGGAAAAATTCTGTTATTTTTTTCCATGATGAATTTTTTTAGGGTCTGTAGTTCTAGAACCATGTCCTCATGCTTGAGGCCAGCTCTCCACTGCATTCTCTCATGCAGGTTGTCCTATTGGACACACGAGTTCTGAAGCTCGCTTAAGTCATAACTGAATCATTGAATGACATCAAACACCTAGCTGTTGTGTTTGAGTTACTTTTTTTTTTTTCCTACTCTTGTAATACGGGTCTGTCCAGCAGTGCTTCTCTCTGTTTGCTTCAGATGTTTTCAGTTATATGGAAATTAAACTCCAAGGCAAGAATATGGGGTGGATCAAATTCTGTAACTGTGTCAATCCCTGCCCCCAGCCCAGAGGACACATCCAGATCCATGTCACTACCTTGTGTTTACCATCAGTGGAGCCCAGATTGTTTCAACACACAGAAAGACTCACTGCTTTTCCTGGCAAGTCCTGAAGGTCATTTGTTTGCTGTGTTTTACAGTAATTGTAACAACCATTTATCCCTTGTAAACAAATAGTGCGCTTCTAACCTACATACCACAGTTAAAACGTTATCCCGATAGGACAAGAGAGTTGCTGACAAAGAGAACTGGCAACATAGGGGGAAAAAGAAGCAAGGCGTAGTCTGTATCTTACAAATGTGGGTCATAGATATTTCTATCTGAAAGAGATGATGGACTTCAATTCCTTTCTATACCCCAGTGAGAACAGTTTTTAGTAAATATTTAAGTTCTCTTGCTTTAAGAAGAAAGACAAGAATGATAATAATCTCTGAATGTACCAATCCCCTATTAAAACCCCTCCACCACCCCCCAAATAACTCCTCTCACTAGATCAGTTCAGCCCCAGGGTTCATAGTTAACAAGGCTTCATTAGGGCTGAAAAAAAAATTGCCTTTGCTTCCAAACACGGGTTGAGCTCTGATACAGCCTCAGCAGGGAACAGATTTCCCCTTTATCTTTTTGCTTCACTGGTGTGTAATCTTGTCTTTTGGAATAGTGGTAATCAGAACAAATTACCTAGAGTGGGGAATGAAAAGACTTCACAGTCATTGTGGGTTATTTTTTGTTTTCTTTAAGAGTTGGTACCTTCCCTCAGTAATTGAAAATGATCCAAGAAATCTCTATATACTTGGTAAGGCTTTCCTAAGCATGCCAGCTAAAGCTTTTAAGGTGGTAGAGATGGTTTCAGCAAGAGTTTGGAAGCTCCAGAAAACCAGAAACTTGCCTTGTTGCCTGGTTCCCTCCCTCAACAGGGATGGCCAGAGTTTCTGAGACAATTGCTGCTGTGGTCTGGAGAGAAGCAATCATGAAAGAGGAGAAGGCTTTGTGGCATGTCCAGGCCCAAATTCCAGATGCAGAATTTAGTATGAACAGCGTGTCCCTCCCAATCTTGAGAAAAGGATAAAGAATAGTGCTCCTCTAGGATCTGCCCTTGGTTTTTGTTGCAGGCTCCAGTCCCACTAGACCTGGGTTATTGTCAGGAAGGCAGCCTTACGGTGTCTCTGCCACTCAGTGAGGGGCTCTGCACTGGCTGCTTCATTCATCATCCCCTGCCTCTCCCATGTGCATCGGAAAACGTATTTGCTGCTTGAGGTTCAGAGAGATGAAGAACATGCCTGAATTCACTAGCACGAAGCAGGTGTTAGAACCTCAGAGAGATTGAAGGGTTGGGGGTGAGGGTTTATGACATCCATGGGGATGCTTAGAGGAACATCTGCCATGCCAGGCATCATTTCTGAAGCTTCATACTTGATGAATTTGAGGTGTGTGGAAATAGGAACAGCCTATTGTGAGGTTACCTTCCTGGGAAAAGCAATGTTATCCAAGACTCACTCAGAAAGCCGCAAGAAGCATGCCGGAGCTAGGTGTCAAGAGGAGGTTTGTGGCATGTCATTAGTGGAAAGTCAGGTGGAAAAGAGCTAACACCTGTCAAGGCATCATCCTTCTGTGTCAAAGTCTCTCTCCCTCTGCAGGGCTGTAAGTATGTGGATTGATAGAGCTTCTAGTGCCTTGAACATGTTGCCACTGGTTGAATGAACAAATGAGCAGAAGTTGGAGATACCCTCATTAGGACCTAGGATGCTCTGAGCCTTAGGTTATCTGAGACTAAGGAGTTTATGAGATGGACTGTATCTGCAAAGTTCTGGAGGACTTTAAGAGATGATTAAGGCTCCGTTGTGTGTAGTGGTAGGGATTTACATAAGCAAAATTTTGGATGGCAACTTAAACTGGGTCAGCATTTTTTAAGGGGTAAGGACATGTGTAAAGAAAAGTGAATGTAGTCTCAAATCTGGATATGTCTAAGTGGGAATCAGTGCAAGTCGTCTCTGTCGGCATACTTAACCAAAATGAGAAATTAGGGAGCTAGGAGAGTATAGGGTCTGAGATATAACCTTCAGCTGAGAGACTGGGTGCCTGCCAGCAAGTTCAGTCATTAAGGGACTGAATTCAGGGTGGAAAGTCCAGCCTTGGGTGTTGTGGACTCCAAGTTCAGAGCAGAGTAACCACTTTTATTGTGGTTACTAGACTAAGTTCAACACAAGTTCCAATGTCTCCTCTTTTCCCTGGGAACAATGCAGAAAGTTTATGTACTAATTGAGTTACTCTAAGGCTTGGTGTTTCTTATATTCATTTCTGTCTTCCTTTAGTCAAGCCAAATTTTTAATATGCTTGACAAAAATGATGGAAAAATCAAGATAATAGCCGGAGTTGAGTAATTTTTAACATGAGTCAAAATATAAAAATTATTAGACTGCTCATGAACATAAAAACAGTAACATTACCAACATCAGTTCAAACACAGCATCACAAAATAGAAGTATATTTGTAAATTTTAACAGCTGCAACTGAACTACATTTTACATGTATTGATAAAGCAGCTTGGGCACAAAAAGAAATTATGAGTCACTGGGATGTCTGTATCAGACTCAGAGTAGTACGTCAATTTCTAAAATTGATCTCAAATATGTTTATGTCAGAGTCATCCCAAGATGCTTCTGATATGAGTCTTGTGCTAAAGAGTAAGATGACTTTGGAGATGTCCTAACCAGGGTTATGAGAAACCCTCTTCTATTTGCCAATGTGATGGTTCAAAGCACAGTTCATCTGGTTCACAAAAAGCAGTTGATCTCTGGTTGGATCAGAGAAGGTCTGGCGGAGGAGATGAAGAATGGGGAGGAGATTGTCTTAGGCAACTCTGCTGAGCAACTCCTTGAATTTGACCTGTGTTCCACCCTTCTAACATTTCTTCCGAGAAAAGAATACTGGCAGAATGTTGACAGTTACTGAAGCCTGGTGGCAGGTAAAGGAGGTTCCTTAGACTATCTTTACTTTAGTTTAACAATTTCTATTATGAAAATTAAAACATTTCCTCAAAGTAGTTGGTAGGAAATTTTTTTTTTTTTTTTTTTTTGAGATGGAGTCTCACTCTGTCACCCAGGCTGGAGGGCAGTGGTGCGATCTTGGCTCACTACAACCTCCACCTCCCGAGTTCAAGCAATTCTCTGCCTCAGCCTCCCGAGTAGCTGGGATTACAGACGTGTGCCAACACGCCTGACTAATTGTTTGCATTTTTAGTAGAGATGGGATTTCACCATCTTGGCCAGGCTGGTCTCGAACTCCTGACCTCATGATCCACCTGCCTCAGCCTCCCAAAGTGCTGGGATTACAGATATGAGCCACTGCGCCCAGCCAGAAATGTTTTTTTAAATAGCAAAACAATTTATGGGATTTCTGTATTCTTATTGCCTTTCTTGATTTAAAAAACCCTAAAAATTGAAATATAAATATATTGTTATATATGACTATTATTTTGCCTATTTTGCACACTTACATATGCCTATTATTTATACTTCTGGTGTATAGGAGAGAGAAAGTGAGCAAATGGGTATTTTCCCTAACGAGACGGTATATTTTTTCTTACCACGGTAGTGTTTATAGTCTGTGAAATTCTGTTAAGATGTGGAAAGTGACAAGTAGAACCCACTTTTCATTTTATGGGAGAGGCTTAGGGAATGACTGTTCATTGAATCCACTCCCAAAACAGACTTGCCTTTGATTATATTGGCCATCTTTTATGTTGAGGAACTCTAATGAGCATTTTTTTTTTTTTTTTTTTGAGACGGAGTCTCGCTCTGTCGCCCAGGCTGAAGTGCTGCAATGGTGTGATCTCAGCTCACTACAACCTCCACCTCCTGGGCTCAAGCAGTTCTCCTCCCTCAGGCTCCCAAGTAGCTGGGATTATAGGCGCCTGCCACTATGCCCAACTAATTTTTGTATTTTTAGTAGAGACGAGGTTTCACCATATTGGCCAGGCTGGTCTTGACCTCCTGACCTCAGGTGATCTGCCTGCCTCCGCCTCCCAAAGTACTGGGATTTCAGGCATGAGCCACCGCACCCAGCCAAATGAGCATTGATTCGGGCCCTGAGGTGCGCTCTGAAATATGTGGAGCAACTAGGTTTCCTGATAACTCACATTCACGTGGGGATGGCTCTTGGTTTAGCCACATAGACGTCATCTTCATTTTAATAATGAGGCCTAGCTTGTAAGTTATAAATCACTGTCTGACATGTCTGGTTATGTTTTTTAAAGACTTGTTTGAAAACTCATTAAACCTGGTGTGTGTGTGTGTGTGTGTGTGTGTGTGTGTGTGTGACGTGTGATGTATGTATTTGATTGCATTCTTTTTTGGTACAGGAACTATAAGTACTTGGGGAACCAAATTTGTTATATTTTATGAATATTAGGTAAAACATTAGACCCATCTATTTATTAATTTAACGCGTTCAGTGAGGAAATATTTATGAAGTGCTTTCATGAGTCAGGCACTGCGTTGAGTGCTGCGAATTCAGTAAAGACCAAAAGCCCTGTGGTCATTGTCCTCACAGGGCTCCCAGACTAGCATAGGAGCAAGCATGAATCTAAATAACCACACACGTGACTGGTGTAATTATGCATGCTACTAAGCGGTGTGACAAAGGCTAGGGTCCTTCACGTGTGTAATACAGCGTCTGCAACCAGCGTGGGCCTCAGTGAAAGCATCCCTGAGGACGTGGTATCTGATTTGCTATCTGAAGAGGAGGAAGAGCACCAGACTGAGGTAAATGCACTTGAGAAGATTCTGATTGCAGGGAGGACACTCGACAAGACCTGGTTTCAGGGAAAACACTGCACTTTGGAAGTCCTAGGAGGCCAGGGTAGCTGGAGAGGAAAGCACGGAGGGAGACTGGTGCGCAGTGAAGCCAGAGAGGCAAATGCAAGCCAAGTCCTGCAGGGCAACGTATCCCATGGAAAGAATTTGGTCTTCATCGGAAGAGCAATTGGAAAGTCTATTAAGAGTTCAATTTAGAGGGATAATGTGATCTAATTTACACTTTTCAGGAAATCACTTTCACTGCAGTCTGGAAAATGGAGGGCAGGAGAGGCTACAGCCCTGGGGAAGGGGTGGTGATGAGTCAGCTATGAACCAGCCCCTCGGCCGTGCACTGGGAATGTGCCGGGAGGTGAGTGGAATGTTCTCTTGGCCTCTTCAAGATCGTGAGCTGTGAAGAGCAGGACTAGTAAACAGATGATGATACAATGTGATGAGCTTCATATTAAAAGTGAGTAAGACACATTATGTTGTGAGCACAGTAGAGAAGGCAATTAATTTTGATTTGGAGGATCAGAGGAGGCTGCCTGAGAAGGTATCATCTGACCTAGGACTTTAGGAATGAGTAAGAACCAAAGAAGAGATTAAAAATTATCCCAATGAAAGGAATAGCAAGAGTAAATTTCAAAGTAAGTTTGAAATGCCTTGAGCTTCAGGGAATGGTCAGTCATCTGATGTGGCTGCCTCACTGCCGGTCCACCCTCCCTCCAGCCCAGATCACATGCTTCCAGATTATGGCCTCTAGTACCTTGACTTGAATAATTATTTTATCATATCAGGGCCAGGAACTCCTCAAACTCTCCATCCTCTCACTGTGTCTCACTTCCTTTGTAACCTTAGTTGCCCAAATTAAATCTCATGAGTCATCATTAACATCATTTTCTGGTAAAGACCCTCAATGTCCCCGCCCTTCTCTAACTTTATCTTAAAGACTGAATAACCTTCAACTCTGATTTGCTGCAGCCCTGTCTACTCTGCCTTATGCTTGAGCAGCTGCCTTTGGTTGGACAGGGGGACATATCCACATGCTCTGGTCTTATTTGGGACCACTAGATGCAAGGGAGCTCTCAGGGCAGCCAGGTCATCCTACAACACTTTCCTAGTGCATTCACTCCCCCATGCTCCCAAACCAGTCTACACCTTCTGCTCTCTCCTCAAAACACCAAGATCTGCATCCTCACTCTCAGATGACAACTTAGCCTCTGAGGTCAATGGGAAAATAGAAGCAACCGCAAGAGACTCTGCACTCTCTCACACTGCATCTTTCCACAAGCCTGCATCTGAGCCCATAGACTCTATGTTCCCTCCCACTGCTATGCATGAGCTCTCCCTGCTCCTATCAAAAACCATCTCCTTTACCTGTGCCTATTGTCTTTCCCATCTTCAAGGACATGGCTCCAGTAGTTTTTTTCTGGTCCTTTCCTCCATCGTTAATTTCCCCCCTATGAAATCATTTCCATCAACCTGAAATATATTGCAATATCTCCTATCTTTAAAAAACTCTCCCTTGACCCCACATACCTAGAGACGTCCTTGTTACCTTACTCCCAGTTATAGCAAAACTTCACTAAAGATGTGTCTTTGTCAGTTTTAGTTGAGCTTATTTCCATTCTTTCTCAAACCTATTCAAATCAGTTATTTCCCCTAATCACTTCCCTGAAATTTTTCTTGTCACTAACCAAGACCTGTACATTGTTAAATCCCATAGGAAATCCAATCTTCATTTTACTTACCTATTAACAATATTTGATATAATTGATCATTCTCCTTCCTTGAAACACTTTATTTCCTTCGGAGACCAAAATTCTCCGAATGTTTCTTCTTTTTCATGGGCTGCTCTTCCTCAGTCTCCTTTGCTCCATCCTCTTCTCACCAATCTCCAAATGATGACAGAGGACCTCATGGTTTAGTCCCTGGACCTGTCCTTTCTGTATGTGTATTTATTTCTTAGATAATCTTACGTAGTCTCATGGATTTGAATATCATAATACACTGATTACTTCCTTTTCCCTCCTTTCTTTTCTAGCCTGGATCTCTTCACTGAAGTCTAGGCTCAAAAATCTGACTATCTGATGTTTCCATTTGGATCTCTGAAAGGTACCTCAAACTTAGAACTGTTTATCATTACCTTCAAGCCTGTTCCTCAAATTTTCTCACCCTCACATCTAATCCATCACCAAATCCTGTCATCTTCATACTCAATAAATGCCCCAAATCTGACCATTTTTGTTATCTCTATTGCCAACACCCTACTCCAAGCCACTAGTTCCACTTCCTGGATTATTGTATCAGTTTCTTAACTACTTCCACTCTTGCACCTCCACCTCTGCACAGCATAGTGTCAACTCAATATCAACAGTAATCTTTTTTTTTTTTTGAGACAGAGTCTTACTCTGTCACCAGGCTGGAGTGCAGTGGCACGATATCAGCTCACTGCAACCTCCGCCTCCCAGGTTCAAATGATTCTCCTGCCTCAGGCTCCCAAGTAGCTGGGACTACAGGTGCACGCCACCATGCCCAACTAATCTTTTTGCATTTTCAGTAGAGACGGAGTTTCACCATGTTGGCCAGGATGGTCTCGATTTGCTGACCTCATGATCTTCCCACCTTGACCTCCCAAAGTGCTGGGATTACAGGCATGAGCCACCGTGCACAGCCTATCAACAGTAATCTTCTTATGATGTAAATAGGAATATGTTGTCATTCTTCTGCTCAAAATCCCCTACGAACGTTCCATCTCATTCAGAATAACATCCAAAGATCTTACACTGGCCTAGAAGGCACTGGGAGATGAGACCCCTGTTTTCTCTCTGACCTCATCTCCTACCAGCCACCTCATTGTTCACTGCATTCCAGGCATCCTGGCCTCTTTGATGTTCTTTAGACATAGCAGGCATGTTTCCTTCTCAGAACCCATAGGCTTACTGTTCCTTCTTTCTGCAGTTTTACCCAAGAGTTTTCAGCTGGCCTGCTTCCTCACTTCCTTCCAGTCTCTGCTCATATCAATGGATCAGTGAGGTCTTCTTTGACCACTTTGTTTAGATTAGCAGCTCTCCCCATCCATCAGATTTGTTATTACTCATCTATGCGTTATTTTTCTCCATAGTGCCTATGGGTATGTGACATACTATATTAGTTGGGTTAGTGGTAGAACCTGCAAACATCAGCTCCAACATTTCTGCAGTTGAATATATTGTAGGTATTTTACATGCTTCCTTACAGTTCAATGCTAATGTTCCTATCTGGGGTTGGTATTCCTTCGCCTGGGATTCAGACACTCGGATCCTTCCATCTTGAGGCTCTGCCTTCAGGGCTTCAGAGTCCTCTGTGTCTAGCAGAAACCAAGGAAAGAATAGTAAGTGGAGGAGGCACATCAAACTCTTAAAAAACCCTGTCCTGTAAGTGATACATATCACTTCTACCCACATTGCATTGGTAAGAATTTGTCATATGGACACAACTGGTTGCAGTGGAAGCTGGAAAATGAAGTCCCTGTCTGGGCCACTGCCTCCCAGGGACAACTCCACTCTGGAAATTTGTTGCACAGAAGGTCATCCCTGCCATACACACTATGCCTTTACTTGTCTAGTAACAGTGTTCCTTCGTTAGAATGTAAATTCTATGGAGAAGTGATCTGTTTCCATCCCTCTTACAACTCTAGGGCATAGAACAGCTTCTAGTGCATAGTAGGTATCCAGTGATTATTTGCTTCTATTTTTATTTTTTTTAAAGTTCCTAGTCTGGAGGAGGGGAGGAGTTATAGTAGTATGGGAACTGAGGCTGAAAAGATAGAGTCAGGTAGTGAAAGGTGTGTGTACTTGCAGCCATCATGAATATGGGCTATCCTAATGCGTAAATATGCCCAGATCACAGGCAAATTGGACTAGAACCAAAGCATTTGGCCACATTTTTTTTTTCCATAAAACCATTTGGACAATAGTTACACAACAGGAATTTCTCTATTGCCATCCTGTGGCTTTGTAGATAAGCAGCAGTGGATCAGCCAGGACCAAAAAATGTAATTCTGTTTGATTTAACTGCACTTGTATACACATGGCCTATGTTCCTCCATGGGAAAGTTTTACTATGTTCAGTGAACTGTATGTTAAATCTGTGGCATAATTCCAAATTATTTCTTTGGCTTTTTCCTCTTCATGTTCTCCTAATTTAGGGTTGTGCTGTTATTAAAGAAGTAAGTATCAAGCATGAAATACTATCAATGCACTTTGGGTTCCAGTTGTATGTCTTAGTCCATTTAGTATTGCTCTAATAGAATACTCAAACCTGGGTATTTTATAAAGAAAAGAAGATTATTTGGTTTGTGTTTCTGCAGGCTAGGAAATTCAAGAAGCATGGAGCTGGCATCTCCTGGGCTTCTGGTGAGGGCTTTTGTGCTTCATCATAACATGGTGGGAGGTCAAAGGAGAAGCAGATATCAGTGAAGAGGCAGAACCAGAGGGGCATCCTGGCTTTATAGCAACCCTCTCTTGTAGGAACATTCCCATAAGAACTAATCCAGTCTTGTGAGACTGAGAACTCACTTGCTACCATGAGAACAGCACCAAGCCATTCATGAGGGATCTGCCCCCATGACCCAAACACTTCCTACTAGGCCCCACCTCCCATCTCTGCCACGTTGGGGATCAAATTTCAACATCAGTTTGGGTAGAGACAAACTTAACCATAGCATAGTGTAATGGAGATAACGTCAGACTTCAAGCCAAGCTCTCAGGCTCCAATACAACCTTCTCCAGTACATTTGAGATCAAACACTGAATTGCATGGACTGTGTTTTTGATTTAGAAATACATGTTAGTTTCTTTTAAAATACAGCTTGACTATTATATATCAAACTGAGAGAAGACACACATGTATATGTTGACATAATCTTTGTGTACTTGAAGATTTGTTGTTGTTGTTGTTGTTTTTTGTTTTTGAGACAGGGGCCCACTCTGTTGCCCAGACTGGAATGTCATGATATGAACATAGCTCACTGCAGTCTCGACTTCCCAGGCTTAAGCAATCCTCCTGACTCAGCCTCCTGAGTAGCTGGGACCACAGGCAAACACCAACACAACTGGCTAATTTTTAAATTTTTTTGTAGAGATGGGGTCTCGTCATGTTGCTTAGGCTGGGCTCAAGCAATCCTCTTGCCTTGGCCACCCAAAGTGTAGGATTACCACCATGCCTGGCCTGCAGGTATTTTTTGTTGGTCACATAGCTTATCGTTCCATTATAAAAATCACCCCTGAGATGTGTCCCCAAAACAGGTTATATAATGTCAATGATCAAAATACGCAGAAAATGTTGTCTTTACAAAGCCTTTTATTAAACATTGGAAAGTATGCTTATCATTTGGAGAGAAATCAGTCCAAAGACCTTGTCAAGCAAAACAATGGGCATGTGTTTGCGAGGAGGCCATACAGAGCTATCTGAGAGACAGATCTTGGCAAATGCCTCACAAACCCCTCATGCTCTTACCCAGAAGTATTTTTGTTTGAAAGACCAAGCCATGTTAGGGTCAATTTGCTAATTAAATAATTTGCATCTCTAGGCAACGTTCTTTCGGAAGCATCTCCATGACTTTGGGATCCATCATACGATGTTTACCGTATAGTTGAGACGTAGCTACTTCTATACCTCAGATTAGGAGATGTGAACAAGTAGGAAGCACCCTCATCTCAGAAGCCTGGGAATTCCAGGACATAACATTGGAGTAGGTGGAATAAAGTTTGATTCTGGTTTTCTATATTATGCAACTCCCTTGATCACAATTGGAGACATACAAATGATGTATTTATACTAAATAGTAGGTAGAAAAAAGCTAAGGGTAGGATGTGTGAGGATTCTTTTCCATGTTTTTCTTTCTTTTGCTAGTATTTCTTCAGAACACCAAAAAAAATTTGCATTGAGCAAGCTGTTTCTCTGAGTTAATTTACTGTAGAGATGCTTGCAACTCCTAAAACCTATGACTATCACAATTGCCTTTCAGAAATCTGTTGATAAATGAACTTATTTGTTCATTTTTTTTTCTTCTAACATAAATGGTAACTAGTAATCTCATCATCTGTGGGGAGGTGTTTCCTCTCTGTGTCCATTTTCTGGGGTTGGTGTAACAAAGTACCTTGAGCTGGGTCATTTAAATAATGGAAATATATTATCTCTCATTTCTGGAGGTTAGAAGTCTGAGCTCATGGTGTCAACAGGTTTGGTTCCTTCTGAAGGCTGTGAGGAAGAACCTTTTCCATATCTCTCTCCTAGTTTCTGGTGGTTTGCTGGTAATCTTGGCATTAATTGACTTGTAGACAGAGATCCACCCCCATCTCTGTCTTCATCTTCACATGGTGTTCTCCCTGTGTGTATCTGTGTCCAAATCTCCTCTTTTTATAAGAACACCAGTCATATTTGGTTAGGGGCCCACCCTATTCCAGTATGATCTCATGTTAAGTAAGTACATCTGCAACAACCCTACTTCCAAATAAGGTCACATTTTGAGATACTGGAGGCAAGGATGTCAACACATGAATTTTGTGGGGAGACAGTTCAGCCCCTAACACTGTCCATCCAGTGTTCCCAGAGAAGGAACAGGAGGGAGGGAAATCTAACAAGTGACATTTACATTCTCAGTGCTGTACATCTAAACCCAGTTTGTTTTTCCCTGGGTAGTTCATTCTCACCTCAGAAGGTGAAAGAGGACATTTCAAGTTTCCTTTCCCCGTTGAACTTGGTTTCTACTTTCATCTAAGGGGGATAAAACATATCTACCCCATATTCTGCCCAGCAGGTGTATATCTAGTTGAAACGAAATAAAGGATGTCTCAATACACTGAAAAAATATACTGCATTGGTATTGTCGATTTTTCATCACTCTTTTCATAAGTGTCAATGGTTACCTAAGTGGTTGATTATGAAAATTGCCTTGAGAGCTCTGTATTTATAAAGACTCCTGGGCCCCTCCCCAGAGATTCTGATTCAGCAGGTTTGACATAGAGCCTAGGGAATCTCTTTTTAAATGTTCTCCAGATCATTCTGGTGATTAGCCAGGTTTGGAATTACTGGTCTTGGACAATTTCTTAAGAGTGAGCCCTGTCAGTAATGTCTACTTAACTAGATTACTCACATGATAGGAAAAATATTGATTAGTGGTTTCAATAATGGTGTCATCAATTTGTTTTAGAAAGGCAATATCCATTTAGTGTGAAAGTTCCAGTTTAGGTGTTTCTGGATTTGAATCCTGATGTGATATATGATATATAATGCTTCTATATTCATTTAATAAATGTAAATTGAGGCAAGTAACTTCTCTGATACTCAGTTTCATTATCTGTAAAGTGAGGACAATAATGCCTACCTCGCAGGGCTGTTGAGAGAATTAAATTGGATAATTTATGAAAAATCACTGGAACTCAACAAGTCTTCATTAAAAGATCATTTTTTCCCCCTTACTCATCTAACACTTTGATTTATTTTGAGTCACTATCTCTAAATTTTTGGTAGTGGGGGACAGTTAAAATTGATTAATAGAACTACACACAACATACTAATCTAAAAGGATAAAATCTTGGATTGAAAGGTTGAAATGAGGAATTTTGATTGCTGGATATTTTCAGAGTACACCAGGTCCTAATAGTGCTATATTAATGTTATGGAAAAGTGAAAATGTTGGCAGCAAATCCTGAATTCTAAAGAGGTGAGTGAGCTAAGGAAAATCCAGTGTGATGAATGACCCATTAACTTAGAAGAGGCTTGGGTACATGCTGGAGGGCAGGTCAGAACTGAAAGCACTGGACCATAGTGTGGTTAAGCATTAAACTTTGAGCAGGGTCCAGCAGCGGTCCCCATAGCATACCTGTGGAATGGTTTAAGTAAGCATCTAGCTTTTTTTTTTTTTTTTTTTTTTGGAGACGGATTCTCACTCTGTCACCCAGGCTGGAGTGCAGTGACATGATCTCGGCTCACTGCAACCTCTGTCTCCTGGCTTCAAGTGATTCTCCTGCCTCAGCCTCCTGAGTAGCTGGGACCACAGGCAAACACCAACACAACTGGCTAATTTTTAAATTTTTTCGTAGAGATGGGGTCTCGTCATGTTGCTTAGGCTGGGCTCAAGCAATCCTCTTGCCTTGGCCACCCAAAGTGTAGGATTACCACCATGCCTGGCCTGCAGGTATTTTTTGTTGGTCACATAGCTTATCGTTCCATTATAAAAATCACCCCTGAGATGTGTCCCCAAAACAGGTTATATAATGTCAATGATCAAAATACGCAGAAAATGTTGTCTTTACAAAGCCTTTTATTAAACATTGGAAAGTATGCTTATCATTTGGAGAGAAATCAGTCCAAAGACCTTGTCAAGCAAAACAATGGGCATGTGTTTGCGAGGAGGCCATACAGAGCTATCTGAGAGACAGATCTTGGCAAATGCCTCACAAACCCCTC